CTGCTCATTTCAGGCCCTGGATAGGAAGGGGTGAGGAAGAGACTGGGTTCCCACAATCCCCTTCGAGGACACCCCCCCCCCCCACCAGCAACTGACTTCCCGCTAGGCCCCACCTCTTAAAGGTCCCACCACCTCCTAAGAGTACTGCACTGGGCGCTGGACCTTTAACACCTGGGCCTTGGGCAGTACTTAAAATCCAAACTGTAGGAGTCCATCTTCAAGTAGCCTGGTTTCTCCCAAGTTTGGAGGCTGGAGGCCAGTTGAATGCTATGGACTGGACTTAGTACAATGGCATTTCAGGAAGAGGAGACAGTCCTTTACTGTGCCAGCACACCCTTGGTCTCCAATGCCTGGCACAGAATAGGAAAATATTATGGAATGAGTAAATTTGTTTTGTACTGTTTCAATAAGAGTGTTGGATATTCCTCTTATTTGATCTTTGGTACATGAAACACTGGAAAAATTCAAGGAAAACCTGACCCTGCCCTCTGTAATCGACTTTCCCTTGAAACAAGAGGATCGAAAATATAAAAACATCATTTTTGGTTCTCATTGTTCATGGGGTCGCTACAGTTTTCCACTTCCCATTTCATGTGTAGTACAGACTTAATGTAAGCTGTGTGTGTTAGTTATGGCAGCACTTGTGTAATAACACATAGAACCTCTAATTTCAGAGACTTAAGGAAACAGAAGTTGATTTCTGCTCATATACCAGTACAATGTCCTGGTCAGAGAATGGTATTATTCTTCAAGGTGATGTAGGGACCCACGTTTCTTCTACCTTTAGCTTCACGATCCCCTGGGGACTTGGAGTCCTCTGTTTCCAGCTGAGGAAGGTGGAGAAGGCATAGAACTTTTTAAACAGCCTGGTCTCACTTATGCTCATGTTCCTCTAGCCGGAACCAGTGACATGGCCCATTTGGCCGCAAAAGAGGCTGGGAACTATATTTCTGGCTGAGGAGCTGTCAGCTCCCTATTGATGGAGGAACATGAGTCTTTGGTGGACAATTAGCTTTCTTTTGCCACAGTGAAGAATATGCGTGGTCTGATTGTTGTTTAATGTGACCTTGCCCACGACACAACATCAAGTTAGAAATGTCATCATCTAGGGTAATGTTCCAAACCTCATCTAGAAAGATGGAAGAACAGTATCAAGCAAAGCATGGGCATTACTGCACAAGCCTTGAAATGATAGGCAGCTTGGAATAGAGGTCAGAGCAAAGCTTTAGGATCAGAGACACAGGTTCAAATCCTGATGCAGGCAGGTACTGTCTGACCACGGCAACTTACTTAACTTTTTTGAAACTCAGTTTTCTCAAGAATGAAATGGGAATCGTAACACCCACCTTGCAGTTTCCTGATGGTTAGAGGTAGTATGTATAGGTGGATAAACGGCATTAATATGTTTCCCGAACAATGATTTCTCAAGAAAGCAAACACACCTTTCTTTTAAATCGATTTGAAATATCAAATGTAATCAAGGACAGGTAATGAGCCTTATGTAAAATGTAAGATGTAGGATAGTGTGGATGTTATGCTTCCAAGTGCAGATGTTACAACTTCTTTCCTGTATTCAGCACAAAACCAGAAATCAGAGTCTAACCAAGCAGCATGATTGAATTGCTTGTAATTGCTCAGAATTCTAGGAGCTGTGGAAGAAAAGAAATAATATTAACAACTGTGATTCATCAAGTGTGTTAGACCCTTTAAACTCCACACCAACCCTGTGAAACATATGGTGACCCCAGCCAATGACACATATATTGTTATCATCATCTACAAATGAAAAAACTGAGACAGAGTGGAAAAAATAATTGTCCAAGATCCTTAGAGAAAGTGGTGGAACAGGGATTTAAATCCACTTCGTGTGACTCTGAAACTCACACTTTTAACCAAGGAGCCTGGGCCCTGGTTGGAGGAAATGCTTTCTCTGTGTGAAAACACTCACACAATGCATGATAACATCATGCTGGAGGAGAGTGGTTCAAATTATCAATGCTGTAGGAATTCTGGCTGGAGAGGAAGTCTCAGGGCTTGGGCATGACTGCATGCCAGGCATTGTACTGGGTGTTTTTTCATCCTTCCCATTTAAGGAGAGGTGGCCTGGCATGTTTGGAAGTCAGGGTGAGCAAGAATTTTGGAACTGGATAGGTAGGGTTTTGATCCTGGTGCTGCAAAGTACTAGGCCTTTCTGATATGATTTCCCCAACTGAATATAGGAATTATAACAGCTACCTTACAGAGGAGGGATTGTCATAAAATGGTACCAGCATAGGATAGGTGCAGTCTATCAACAGACATGGATTAAGTCCTTTGCACTTGGAAGTATCAATTAGGTTATGCCGCTGTAACAAACACCCATTAAATTCACTGGTTTAATATGAGAAAAGGTTAATCTTTACTCACCCGACTTTTCTAATACAAGCTACCTGGCAGTGTTCTACCACCTTTACCTAGACACCCAGGCTCTCTAACTCTGCACTCCCCTGATAGTCAAGATCAGAAAAGAGAAAAGAAGCTTTTTTTTTTCTTCCTTTTTAAATATTTATATAAGACAGCAGAATGCATTACAATTCTTATTACACATACAGAGCACAATTTTTCATATCTCTGGTTGTATACAACCTAACTCTGAAGTCTCCATGTGGAAAAAGCACAATTACTTGTGCCTTCATTCTACTGACCTCCGCAAGTCATATGGCCACATCTAATCTGAAGTGGGTTGGGATAGTAGATTTCTACCATATCTCAGGGGAAGGAAAAGAACAGAAGATACTCGGTGAACAATTTTAATTACTACTGCAGAAGCGATGTGTTTACCTGAAAAACCTATCAGGTAATTTCTGTTTTAAGAAGAGGAAACTGAGGCTTTGAGAGGTTAAGTCATTTGCCCAAGGTCATGCAGTCAATTCACTGGGAACCAGGACTCACTCTGCATATCACTTACTTGATTCTTGAATTTACATGCACAGTTATTTGTATAAAACCAGAACACAGGGATGGGTGAGAGTATAAATCAGTGGTAAAACATTTCATCCCAGGCACTGGGAAAAAAGGCAGAAACAGTTTAGGATGGGGGCAGAGAGGCCCTGCAAGTGTGGTGGACAGAATAGATTTGAATAAACATTAACTTTGCCTATGTATTATGTGGTAGCTCTTAGGGAAGACAGGAAGGGGCAGAGGGGTTTAACGTCAAGCATCAGTGGAAATAAAGTTTGGACAGACTGCTAGAATGCAGCAGAGGCACGTGTGTGGAGATATGACTGGGGTGTTTTGGGCCATTACTAGGGCTGCAGGGAGGAGTTTCCGGGGAGGAGGTTCCGGGGAGGGCAGGCTGTTGCCAGAGCCCAGGAGAGTCCAGTGTAAGGTGATAAGGGGTAGACAGGAGTGAAGACAGCAGGAATGCGGAGGAAGGGATGAACCTGGGAGATGAAGAGGAAGCTCCAGGGCGTTCACTGGTGGAAAAGTAAAGAATTGCCAGGGATTTGCAGAACGCACCGCTCTTGCACCATTTATTAAAACAACAACAATAACAACAAAAAACCCACGCCTTTTTTCCCCCTTGCCTTCTTCCTGATTTTTCCCTTGCCTCCTCTTTGGAGAACCGGGACAGCTCCCATGGCTGGAGGGTTCCTGACTGACCCTCACCTGGTGGGGTACGGTTGCTGTCGCCATCACGTGGATGTGGCCCTTCCAGTTAAAGGAAAACTCCCAAGGCTCCTTGGGGGCCAAGATCAAGAGGCCTGCAAGTCGCCTTTTGCAAGGCAAAGGGGATGCTCTGCAGGCCCGGGCCCCTGATCCATCCCAGGTCCCTGATTAGTCCACTGCTGATGGCTGCTTCGCGGCAGGGTGGGCCTCTACGCGGATCCAGCTTCGTCTCCGTGCCTTGAGCGCCCCATTTCTTCCACACCCCCAACTCTGCTACCCTCCCAAGCGGCTGTGCCCGCCGGAGTCCTGGACTGTGTTGGAGGGCCCCGGGTGCAGCCTCGTAGCCTCCCTTCGTCCCGACTCCGCCTTTCTTCGGGCCGAAGCGCCCCTCCTGGGGTTTTCCAGGGCGCGCAGTGGCCCCCGCAGGACGGAGGTGGGGGCCGGCGGGCGGGGGTGCCAGCCCGGGCGGCGGGGGGGCCTGACTCACCGCCTGAAACCCAACACCGCCGCGCCCCTCCCCCAGCCCAGCTCCGGCCTGGCGGCCGCCGCGACACCGAAAAGAAAATGAAGAGGCGCCCGGGCCCGTGGAGCCCCTGGCCGGACCGCGAGCGGGCGCCGGCGGCCCCCGGCTGGGTGCGCGCTAGCCTCCCGGGTCCCGGGCTCCGCGAGCCGCCGCCGCCCCGCCGCCTACAGGAACGGAGGCCGAGCGGCCCGAGCCGGAGGCTGCAGCGGCGGCGGCCGGGCCGGAGGGCCCGCGGTAGCTGCAGTGGGTGAGCCCGGGAGCGCCCGGGGAGGGGGCGCCCCGGCTGGGATCCCCCGGTCCCCCCGGCCGGCCGAGGACAAAGACCCCCGGCTGCCGCCGTGGCCTGCGCCGCGCCGCACAAAGGGCGAGTCGCGACAGGCACCCAACCCCCTCCCAGCCCGGGGTGGCCGGGCCGGTGGCGGCGGGGAGGTGGGGAAGCGCGGGCCGCGCCGCCCCTCGCTCCCCTCCCCCGGGGCCGCGGAGCGCGCCGCCCCCGCCCCCGCCCCGTCTGCGCGTCCGCCCAGGGAGGAGTTGGGGGGGCGCGGCGCCCCACATAACACTCCCCCTCCTGCGCTCAGAGCCACCCCTCTCCCCTCCCTCCTGCAAACACCACCGCCTCCCTGCCACCGCCGCCACCTCGCTCGACGCTCCGCAGCTCGCCGCGGCCGGGGGGCGGTGCGCCGACCGTGCGCGCCGGGGGCGCCAGATGTGCAGTCCCCGCCGCCGCCAGTGACCCAGCCGCAGCCTTAGCGGGAGCGGGCCGCCTCGCCAATGCTGCGGGGGCGGCCTTGAGCGCACCCGGGTTTCCCACTGCGGGGACCCCGACACCCCGAGCGTTGTGCCGGGTCCTGCCCTCTGCAGCCCGGCTTTTGGACATGGAAGGGGCCGCTGCGCCCGCGGCTGGGGACGGCCCCGACCTGGGGCTGGGGGCGCCGGGTTCTCCGCCCGAGGCGGCGGCCGGGGCAACTGCAGCTCCCGCGGTGGCTGCGGCCCCGGAGCCCAGGAAACCGCACGGGGTGAAGCGGCATCATCACAAGCACAACTTAAAGCACCGCTATGAGCTTCAGGAGACCCTGGGCAAAGGCACCTACGGCAAAGTCAAGAGGGCCACCGAGAGATTTTCTGGCCGAGTGGTGAGTGGGGATGTTCCCGGGGGGGGGGGGGGGGCGGGCTTCTTGCAGCTGCAGACCAAGGGCGTGCGGGGCGGGAATCTGTGGGCGCTGGGGCTCTCCTGCCAAGAGGGGGCTTCTTGAGGGTCCCGCAGACAGACTCTTCATTTTCCTCCCGGGACCCCGTGACTCAGGCGTGTCTCTCTTGAAACACTTGTTACATCCTTTCTGCACATATTTTGGGGTGTTCTCCCCTTTTATCCAAACAGCAAAGTAGTGGCTAGGATATGTGAACAGTTTGCAGTTTTGGACAGTAGGGTCTGCCCCGCCGGACATATCAGATCATGCCCCCGAATGTCTTATTACTCAGAAAGACTTATCCTACTCAGCCCAGAGCTGGTCCCTCAAGTCTATGTCCTATAGTTGTCTCCCTGTCCCCCCGCCCCCCTGCCCCGTTTACCCACAGACTCTGCATCCCTCCACTGATTCCCCATCACCCGATGCTGTCCCTGCAAAGGAGGGCAAACTCCTGCCTGTTTTTTAAGAGAGAAGGTTAGGAAGCAGAAATGAAGGCTGCTACTGCATGCCTGAGGATTGTGACAGTTTGCATCGTGACTTCTGGGAAGACTGAAATGCCCCTGGCATGGTAGCCATTCAGATGCAGCACTGAGTAGTGCCGCGGGCTCCCTTGTGTTTCAGGTCCTGACCTCAGGACTACTAAATTGCTTAAGGGGTCTGGCCAGCTGCCCTGTGACAGCTGAAACCTTGCCAGGGTACCAGCACCATTTGCACAGCTCCGAGAAGTGCTTTGAGTGCCTTCGTTTTGTCCCTGTCTTGGTTTGTTGTCATTTTTCCTTTCTGCAGAACAGGCCCTTGAAATCCACACGGCTTGTGGCTAGAGAGTTGGGTTCAAAGTGACTGACTGTTGCAGAAAGATTTTGTGTGGTGTGTGGCAGAACATTAACATGGTTCTTTGATTTAAAGCAGATCAGATGTAATTTTAATCGATTTAGGGCCAAAGTCAGAAACTAATTATGAGGCTCCTTATGTGCACTTTTGGGGGTGTTTCAAGGCCCAGGGTCGATAATAAATCTAACAGATGGTCACAGGGAAAGCAAAATGAGCTATCAACTGAAGTGCCAGTGTTGACATTTTCCTTTTGCATTTGTATAGGGACAGTTCTGCTGGGAAAAAAAAAAAAAAAAAAAGGCTACTAATCAGCAAGGTCCAGCCCTTAAATTCTCAAATATCTGGATGCCTGGATAACTCCTTCATTTCTCAGATTTGCAATTTGTGTCAATACAACTTAATCTTATAACTTAAAACAAAGTCTATTATTGATTAATTGGAAATTCAGGATGGTGTCCTTTTTTAAAAAAGCTTCCTCTTTAATAAATGAATTGTGGCATGCAAGTTGAAACTTTACTCTGCCCAGGCACCATTTTTGCAGGTTGAAAATCCTAAAGAGGATATGGTTGGGAAGATGTCCTTTGAAGAACTTCGTAGAAGAGACTGAGAAATGCGCACTTCATTCATGCTTTTCTTCTGAGGTGATATTCCCCAGGCTGGATGTTGAATAAGCAAAAACTAAGCTTAGTTCTTTGCTTGTGTTGTCTTAATAGCTGTTGAAGAATTGCACTAGGAAGTTGGAAAGCATGATAATGAAAAACAGATGCAGTTCGAGGTGCAGGTTGAGGATGTGAGAATGTGAGGGGTTGGTTGGGAAGGGTGTGTCTGGGATCTGTGAAGGGACCCCAACACCCAAGAGCTAGGGAGTCTGCACTCTTTGAAAGAATGCAAACCTGTCTTATGGCAGACGCCTTCCCGAGCTTCCCTGGGGCTTCCTGTCACGCGTTCTTCTAGCTATCTGATCCACAGACTAAGTTAGAGCAAAAGGATTTGCATCAGTGGGCAGGAGCCTGTCTTTCTCTTTTGGTGGGTGTCTTGCTTTTTGTTTGCAGAAACTGTGAGCATTCCTCCAGGATTTTTGTCTCATGGCCACTAGGGGGAGCCCTGAGAACGATAGAGGCTCTTTTCTCAGCTGGAAGATGAGGGAGCCCTTACTGCGCAGCCCTAGTTGACTTTTCCATCGTGCTATTAATTTCAGCTAAATCTCTTGTTTTACTCAAAAATTATGTAAAGATTTTGAAGCTGGCAGCAGATACAGTCCCAGAAACTGGCAGTCCCCAAACTGCTTCATTTATCCATGGGACTGTTTTTTTTTTCCGGATAGCTGAGCAAGATTCTCTGATGAACACCTTGCATTTAACAGATGGGAAGACTGAGGTTTGGAGAGGGAAAGCCTTGGACCCAAGTCCTCCCCCTCCTGAGCACACTGCTCACAGATGGTGCAAGAACTGAAGTGAGAAACAAGAATTGTCAGGTGGAAAATTTTCTGTGCTTGGCTGAACAGAAAATAATACGAAACACACAAGCAAACAAAGAAAATCACTTATTAAGTTGTTCTGCCCATTCAGTGCCCAGTGATGCAGAATCTGTCAGGAGCAGCAAGAAATTTTGTCCAATGTATGAACATGGAGTTTTCTTCTGGTTCTAGGGATGCATGAAATATCACAACTTGCTCTTAAGGTTCAGTCGAAGAGCCTTGAGAGAGTGTGGTCTTAATTCTGCCTATTCCGTCTCTGGGCACGATGCTGATGTAATGTCTTTTAAAACCTTTCTCAGAAGGGGCAGTGGTTCTAACCTGTCTTGCCAATGAGTCAGGTGCTGGGGATCGCCAACATTCTTGTTGAAAGCAGGGCCCCTGCTCAGAAAGGAGAGACTTTTTTTTTTTTTAAACATGAGAATATTGTTGCCTTTTTTTGTGGGGGAGGCGGGGTACCAGGGATTGAACTCAGAGGCACTCAACCACTGAGCTGCATCCCCAGCCCTATTTTGTATTTTATTTAGAGACAGGGTCTCACCGAGTTGCTTAGAGCCTCGCTTTTGCCGAGGCTGGCTTTAAACTCGCAATCCTCCTGTCTCAGCCTCCTGAGCCACTGGGATTACAGGCGTGCGCCACTGTGCCAGGCTAGAATGTAGTTGCTTTGATGGTACATCTGGAAGGGCCTTCTGAATAAAGCGCACCAAGACCCAGCATCACTTTCTATGTTCTCTGAAATGCAGTTCTGAAGAGAGTTGCAGAGTCAGGAGCTTGGAGTCGATTGGTTCAGCCCTCCCCGTCCAAGTAGCACCCCTTCACATCCCCAGATGCGGTCTTGCAGCCACTGTTTAAGCATATTCATGACACAAGGACTCAGAGTGGGTTGTGATTATTGAGTCCAACATCAAGGCACTCTTGCAAAAAAGCTAAAAGCCCTGGCATGCATTCAAGCCTTCACCTGATTCTTTCTAGCTTTGTGACTTTAGGCAAGCTGTGTGTCTTTGAAACCTCAGCTTCCTCATCCGTTAAGTGGGCCGTTAATAGTACCAACTTCTTGGACTTATGAGAGTTGAATAAAATAATCTATATAAAGCCTCAAAAGGGGGAAATGAACCATTTTAGTTCCTCTTTCTAGTAGGGGTCCCCCCCCCCCCTCAAGATTTCAAGGCCATCAGAGAGACAGGATGCTTTGGACAATTAGCCTTATGTCATGGGGAGGGGGTAGGGGAGATAATCACCTTCTCAGGGGTATTAAACTAACAGGCTGGATTAATTAGGGAGGTGCACACAAAGGAAGGTGAAACAGTGAGATTTGGATAGGATCTGAACATGTTCCTGAAGTCTTGAATTTCGGCTTCAACTATTGCACAAGCTTTGTTTTGATACAGTTTTGGGCAGGGCTGTGGGTGAACCTCTGTGTCATCTTGTGGCATGTGCTTTCTTTGAGCCAAATTTCTTGGACCTTCAGGTTGCACAAAGCACTGCCCCAAACTCCAAACCCAAACCCACCCTACCTTTTGGGGAGAGGTGTCATGTGGTTGCCTCAGTGCCCAAGGTTAAGGTGAACTTTCTCCCCACACCAGTTTACCTGGTGTGTGGCAGTACACGGTGTGCCTGAGCTGGAGGCATGGTCTCTGGGATGGGAGGGGCAGGACTGGTGGGCAGAGGGTGTCCTTGTCTACCAGAGTGCTTCCAGCCACCAGAGAACTAGCTTAGGATAATAGGACATCCTCACCTCGCAAGCCAGGTGAGTTGACCAAAAGTGAGTATTTTAAGCATTGACCCAAAGCTATTCATAGCCTGGTGATAGAAAACTGGAGATCAGAGAAGCAAAGTTGACCTGCTCAGCCATGGGTGTGTGGCCATCATATGCACGGTGGCTGAGATACCATTTTGCAGCTAAGGCCCAAACCCAATTTCAGAGTGTTAGGGACCTTGGCAAATGTATCATCCAAACTTCTCATCCTCATGGTGGGAAACACGAGGCACAGAAGTTTATTATCCAAGGTGGCACAGCTGGTAAGTGACTGAGCTGGGTTGAAGTTACTTGATTCATGGATTGGAATTTTTCTGTCATTCATTTAATAAATCTTTACTAAAGCAAGACACGGACCTAGCTCCTAAAGAATTTATAATCTAGTTGCAAAGATGTACCTACAGATACTGGACAAATTTTCATTCATTCGACAAAGATTTATGTCCGTCTGCCAGGTGCCAATGCCAATCACCTTGTTAAAGGTGGAGACATAGATACACGTAGGACCCAAGGAGCTTAGTGTCCAGTGGAAGAGAAAGAGTAAGTGGTCACCAGGCTGGGAATAACTCTTCCATAAAGGATGCGATCATTCCAGGTGGTTTTCAGGTTGGAGTGTGATGCCTTGAAGCTTAGTTCCCGGGATTGAGTTGACCCTGCGCCTTCCCAGGCTTTCAAGCTTCTGTGGTTTCTACCAGCTGATATTTTTAGCTCAGGTGTGTCACGCAGTGCGAAATGCTCTACAGACATTTCCCCTCATTGAGCCCTCGCCCTTGAGGTGTGCACTCCGATTAGGTCCATTTTACAGATGGGAGATATGACCCATCGGGAGGCTAGCAGATTTGCTGAGTGTCACACAACTGGATGGTGCCCAGCAGGCCTGTATTT